CCAACCCATCCACCCATACATACAGTACCAACCCATCCACCCATACATACAGTACCAACCCATCCACCCATACAATTGCCAACCAATATTATTCTACATGTAATCTTTAAAATGTAATTATAAATACAATCGTCAAAATTTAATAAATGGTTAAAGATGAATAATAACAATAATTTTAAATTAAAAAAATATATAAGAATTTAGCTAATATTATAAATTTACTATAAAGTTCTTATTATTCAGAGTAACAATCGCTTACATGTGATTCAGACCACCTAGTAACACTGAAAAGTATCTTCAACAATAATATATTACTGGTGCATCATATGCATAATCCTTTACATTGTCTTGCTTTTCTACATCATTTTTCACTAATTTCAATATTAAATGAATGTGAAATAACACCATTGTTATTCTAATGTTGCTGTCAGCTCTTGATATTTTACACTCTGATCTTTTTCTTTTTGTTTTTCAACTCTGTCTCTTGTTTCAAAAATGCAAATGTGTGCATCTAATAAACAACATGATCTGAAATCCTGTACAACTACTTAAATTTTTTTCTCATTCTTCATAATTTCACTTAACCTCACTCATTACTCTGAAAGTTTTATTTTTCAAATAAATATCTACAATTGTTATAACTTTTATACATCTACTTACTCTTTTAATATATTCTTTTTACTTCTCTAAAACATCTTGTATTTCCCAACTCTTTTCCTTACACATTACTATCATCTTTAACCCATTACTGGTTAATTTGTTTTTCTTGGTAATAAAGTGGCGATTCTGGTGGCCAATCCTCTGGCTACTCAAACCTGAGGTAAGAACAATGCCTAACTAGGCCTAACTGTCTCACTTTTTTCTTCATTGAAGCATAGATGGTGTACGCTGCTAATGCATCACCTCTCACCAATGTGACCTGGGTTTGAGTCCTGTTGGGCTTGGTGTCATACATGAGTAGAGTTGTTTGTTGATTCTCTCCTGTACTCTCCTGTGCTTTGAGGGGTTTTCTCTGGATTCTCGTTTTCTTTTCTCCACAAAAATCAACTCTAGAAGATATTCTTAATGGGGTTGACCTCTTATATTTCCTTTCATACTATGATGCAAATATGAGAAGCACAGGTGGCGTGCGCTGTTAATGCCCGGCCTCTCACCAATGCGACCCGGTTTTGAGCCTTGCTTGTTGGTTGTTTGTTGTTTGTTGGTTCTCTCCTTCTCTCCTCCTCTATAAACATCTCTTAAAGCTATCATACATAATCAAGAAATAAATGAATAAATCTAATCCTTAATTGCACTTAAAATTAATAAATTATAATATTTCTGTAAAAGTCCCAGAATAGAAACATAACTTGCTATCATGCGATCTATCCAATCAGATTGCTCGATTTGCTAGTGTCCAGGCTCTAAGATTCACGGTCATATAATAATTACTCTTTGGATCTGATGTATGGATTGTGGAGTTATGGATGGTATGGTATGTGCTACGTGTTTATGCACCACCCCTCAATACTGTGGCTTGGGGGGTTTAATTGGTACTTGGACCTGCTATCGTGCGTGAGTAGAGTTGCTTATAGAGCGTTTTCACTCACGTGAGAAGGCAGCCATAAACAATAGAAACTTTCTGCACAGTATTTGCATAAAAATAGAGTTCAATTCCCGGAGGATAGAAAATGTATTGTTTTGGTACCCCTGATAATGGCCGCTGTGACGTCACGTGAAAACGCTCTAATCGGTATCTTCTGGTTTTGAAGATTTACTCCCTCCGAGTTGCTTAATGATAAAACATTCGACTAGAATACAGAAAGCCATGGGTTTATTTCCCGTCAGGAACTCGTACTTTTTTCCTGAGTTTGCTTATTTTCGCTGGGACACGCTAATAATTTTCATTTACTTCATGCACTTTTTAATTCAGGATGTTTCACATCGATGATGTACCATCTGGTGCAGGGGAAGGCATAAAGGACATCAAAAAGGCTTTAGCTGTAAGTTTTCTTTCATCTAATTGTTACCACACAACCATCATAGGCATGACTCAGCACGTTTGTGCACTGATACGCTTTTCATATGTTTTTTGGCTACTGAATGATTTTTTTCCTTATCTAATAATATTATTTGTATTTGATAGCCAACACGTGATCCAATATGCTGTGTTTGCGCATCTGATAAAATGCTCATTGTGGTGAGTAATACAAGATATGGATGGATTTTTGGGTAAAATGTCTTTCTTTCTCGTCCAATCTATTCCACTTCCGCATTCATTTACTTCTCTTTCCTTATTTTTTCCTTCTCTCTCCATTCATTTCCTAATCAATTCCTTTCCAAGTATTCCCTTTCTTTCCTTTCCCTTCCCTTTGCTTTCCTCCCCTTCCCTTCAAATTCCTCGACTTCCCTTTGCCTTACTACCTCTTCTCTCTTTTTTCCTATCCATTCCTTCCCATTCCTTCCATTTCCTTTCTTTCCCTTTACAGTGCTACAGACCACCCTCCACGCTACGTTTTTATTGTTTTACACAGCTGCACTTACTTTGAATCAAAACATAATAATACGAATACGATTGAACCCATATTGTCTTTTTATGTTCCAGGGTCGTGAGTCAGGCACCATTCATCGTTATTCTTTACCTAAACTGGCCCTAGAGATGAAACACGTCTTGAACTGTCGTCCACATCATCTGTCACTCAACTGCACGTCAACGTAGGTCACACAATTGGGGAAACTGAAAATGGTTGGGTGGTAGACCTAATCTCCTACACGGATGTCCTTAGAGTCACGCAACGCTTAAAGCAAAAGAAAAGCGTTGCGTGACGACCTAATGACGTCCGTGTAGGATATTAGAACTAACAAAGGTGGTTTTTTTTGTCATACCTCACTCTCTGTGTCATCATATTAAGTATTTGTTTTCTTTTCTTTGTACCAGCCGTGTTGCTATCATAGATATCTCAGGTGTCTTAACGTTTTTTGACTTGGTAAGTGGCGATAACTTTTGTATATACTCCTTGTGGTAACGAAACGAGAGTACCTCTTGGACCCAGAGCCAGAGACATTTTAAGAAACTTAAAAGTTGAGATGGGAGATGTTCATTGACATAACCGTTGATTGCTCTGTAACACAGGAAGCCCGACGAATCGACCCGACAAGAAATGAGACTGTTGTTGGTGAACACTTGAAGTTTGAACGTAAAGATGTATGGGACATGAAATGGGCTGATGTAAGTGTATTGGAACGCTAAGTGCAAGCATTAAACACTCAATATATGTGCTGTATTTGTTCCCGTTGTTGTTAACGTTGTCGCCGATGTTGTTGTTGCTGTTATTGCTGTTACTGTTATTGTACTGTTTAATCGTAGTTGCTGTTGCTTTTGGTGTTTGGGGGGGGGGGGGGGGGGGGGGGGGGGGGAGGGTGTTGTCGTCGTTGTTGTCGTTTGTCTAATTGTATTGCCAATAAATTTGATTTTTCCCTCCTAGGATAACAGTGAGCTGTTTGCTATGATGGAAAAGACACGTATGTACATATTCAGGAACCTTGATCCAGAGGTAAACACTAAAGCTACAGATTTGCATCAACAAATACTAAAGGAACATAGGACCTAAGTCTATGTTGTTGTATTTCAGGAACCAATCCTTAGTTCAGGATATATTTGTCAATTCAACGATCTTGAAGTCAAGGCTGTACTTCTGGATGAAGTCATGAAGGTAAGAAACCTGTGAATAAAGTCTTACTCCAGAAACATGGGGCACGATATGACACATTGCTTTTACCCTTTTAATTGTTTTTCTTTTTTTATCCTTCCTACTAATGCTGCTTCAGTTTGCTAGCTGTTGCTCTCCGATTTTGTTGCACAGCGCGGGAATTAAAACAAAACAAAATTGCTTCGTAATTCTAGTTGTACTCTACTTTAAGACAGATACTGTATAATTGTTTGTGGGACAAGATTTTCACTGGGAATACTGCTGCAACCATGATAGGATCGTTATTGTCTGAGAATTTTGATCAACTTCGTTCACTGTGGTCTATTCTCGCTCATACTTCCTCAACATGGCCTACTGTATACTAATGTTATTCTTATCTTAGGATCCTGATCACCCAACCAAGGAAAACATGATCGATTTAGAGGTCAAGGTAAGATGCTATACCAGTGTTTGTATTCATGGACCACGCACAGTTTCGTCAATAGATTAGCTTAAGGTTTGTTATCGTGCTGGCACGCCAGCTACAAGAACCTGCTTAGAGTAATATACCAAAAACTTAAAGTAGTGTTCGTATGATATTCAAAAATTTACAACCAAGCCATGGGGTACCGTAACCGTGACGGTGTCGAGTTCAAGCATTTTGATTGGATAAGCAATGATCTCGCGCGCTATGATTGGTTTAAAGGATGTATTCAATACCGTTATGGGATGGCGCCGTGTACCGTGGCGTGTATTTTCACTGTAATACGAAATTCGTAGACTTACCCAAACTGACCATGCCCAAGATAAATTTCGCATTTGAGAAGTGCTTATCAAGTTTTATTAATCTTTTGTTGTACTTTTCAGTCTCTACGCGATGCTCGCGATCTGCTTGAGAAAGTTGGAATCGCTGATGCCTATCAGTTTATCGAGGACAACCCACATCCTAGACTATGGTAAGTTAACAACTATGGTAAGCTGAAAAACGAAATTTAAAAACTCTCCTTTCTTCATTTCTCGTTTTTTCCCTTTCCTTTCCTGTCCTTTCCTTTCCTATCCTTTCCAACCCTTTCCTTTTCTTCCCTATCCTATTCTATTCTATTATATCCTATCCTATCC